ATTTCAGAACAGGGGGGACCTGCAGAAAGCTGCCTCAGTTTTGCATAGCTCTCTGGAGTCTGTCCTACCCTAATGAGGATGGACACAAGAGATGAAAGAAGGTAAGACCACATGGTGGGAAGGCAGGGTTGACAGGTGTCATGGAGTCCTCTGCTCTTGAACATTGAACAATCTCGCAACCCCTGGTTGTTGTGAATTTTTTCTTGTTGTTCTTTTTCTTTTCAAGACAAGTTTGTGTACTTTATTCTGTAGAGTAATTATATTACAGGTGTTCATTCATGCCCAGTTCATGTAGTGCTATGCTCAAACCCCAGGAGAATCAAACTTAAATGTTCATAGCTGGGCAAAAAGAAGCCATGTGAGGTTGTCCAAGTACTCTAAAGAAGATGCAGACCCAACAAGGCTGGGATTCAGATCTTGTTCTCATTGGCCACTGATGTTGTGTATGACCTTAAGCAGGCAGTTTCAGCGTCTTCTCATCTTGCCTGAAATGGGACCAGTTGCTGCACAGGACCCCTCCCGCCCATCTGGTGTGGAAACCTAATGAGCTCATGTCGTGAACATGATCTTGAGTTGTAAAAGCAGCACACCCTTGCAGAGTCTGTGGGCTATTATTTGAATGTTTGTAGCTTTAGGTGAGTGGGGTTCATTACTGCTGTGATTAGTGGTAATTACTGTACTAAACCACACCATGGAAAGGAATCTTCTCTCACTGGCTTCTTCTGCAGGATCTGTTGTGTGATATTTTAGAACATATCAATATTAACTAAAGTGTAATAGTGTATCACCATACACATATAGTTTGTTCTCATTTAGAAGAGAAAATTTGGAAAGATGGCACTTTGAACATTAGGTGAAGATCTTCCCCTGCTTTAACAGCATTTTGTTTCATAAAATGAAGACCTTTCCAAAACAGGGTTCTCATCAGGAAAAATGACATCAAACTTGGCATAGCCTCAGTGGCAATTCCAATGGGAAAGGGAGAAGAGGAATATCCCAGGTTTCTAAGCAGAAGAACCTGAGAAGTACTGCATATGGAAGAGAGTTCCCTCCCACATACAGGGTGTAGAGCCTTTGCCAAATGTCTAGAGTCCCCAAGAGGCCCTGGGATCTGCATAAAGCTCTAGGTACAGAAGAGATCTGGGGAGGGAGCTTGCTCCATGAAATTCTTTCTGCATAAACATGAGAACCCAATTTCGATCTCTACATAAAACCAGAAATGGTGTCACACACTCATAATCTCAGAGCTGGGCAGACAGAAAAAGTGGGGTCCCTAGTGCTCATTAACTGCCCAGCCTCCTGAAATCAGTGAGCCCCCAAGTGTTCTGGAGAGACTGTCTCCCAAACACAAGATGGATGGCCATCCTCAAGAATAATGCTTGAGGTTGACTTCTGGCCTACATGCATGCAACACACACACACACACACACACACACACACACACACACACACACACACACACATGACCTAGTAGATGACGTCTACCCAGACTACAGCATATGGCCTAGATTCTCTCTGTTCAACTCTTCTGTCATTACATAGACCTTGTAGACCTTCAAGTTCCTCATTGGGTCTTCATCTCCATTGTCAGACAGGAAAGAGTTAAGCATCTGTTTGCAAATTATTGGACCCAATTCATGCCCATCATCCATTCCCTCTTCCTCCTCCTCCTCTCTTTCCTAAATTTCCTTTGGCCTATCAGTTGGAAACATACAATATGAACAAATATATAATGTGAATAAATCAAGACATAATACTGAAAGTCAAGTATCATTCTCACCTGAAAGAAGCACAGATAGATGTGTGAAAAATAATGTCCTACCACACTACTGCTGAGTGGCTTTCTGACAGTCACAGCCTTAAATGCAGAACCTAAAGCAAACAGGAGGCTCTGAGGTAGCCAGAGAAGTTGGGGTCTTCAACAGCATGGTAATTAGAACATTAAAACCAGGGGAGGGGAAAACACACGCTTTAGATTACTCTTGCTGGTGCTGTGTCTCAGGGTTCCCACCTGATCACTCACTATGGGACCTGAGGTCTCAGTGACCTTAACAACAACCTGAAGGGTTGTATCATGGCACTGGTGTAGAGGGCTTCACACACCAGCAATAGGGGTAACACCCAGATAGGGACACCCACCCAGAGAGTACACCCTTCATTCATACAGATCTGAAAATGGCGTGACTATGGGCTGACTCCTGGCAGCCTGCATAGTCTTGCCCCAGCCACCTCCTGAGGCACATAGCCGCACAGCTCCATATCGTACTGACTGGATACCAGGGCCTCCTCTCTGGGACTTTGCCTCTAGGGACTCTAGGAGTCACAGTAGACCAACAGGAACACACCCCCTGAACCCTACCTGCCTTGATGGTTACAAAGTCATGGCTGGGGGAGAATGTTTCTTGCTTCTCGGAACTTCACCAGTACAGTGACTAGGGTATGAGTCTCTCTGAGTGTCCGGGAACCTCGTGAAATTTTTAATGAGCATGTACATGTTTCCCACCAAGCTTTCCTTAGGCAGTTCTGAGTGAATCATCCCTGGAGTCCCACATTTAATTCAAAATAAAAGACCTAACAAGAGTTTTGAAAGTCCTAACACCTACACTGGTCAACGTGGTGAGAAGTGAGCATACCACTATGCTACTACTGCGGGTTTGATATTCCTTCCTTGTTAAGCAACTTGATGACGTGTACCAAACGTCTTACTAATGTCAGTGCTTTAGGTTTAGCCTACTGAAATTACTTATAAAATTTAATTTAATAACAGATGTGCATGAAGATTATTTTGTATGCTGGTTATGCAATCCTTCATAATAGCAAAATTTTGGGAGTGCCCTAAATCATTGTACAATCTCATCACATAATAAAGTCTCTCTCAGTATATTCTGATGAAATTGAAACTGGAATTTTACTTGTAATCACTAGACATGACCTTGTAGAGAAACACATAACAAAACAACAGTGTAGTTAGGATAGATTCATGGTTGAAGAACAGATCAAAAGATATTTTATAGAATCTTACTTTGTAAACATAGCTTAAAAGTTCATTTTTATTATTTTCATCATGTGTGTGTGAATGTGCACACAAATATAGGTGCCAATGGAGGCCAGCAGAAGCCAACAGATCTCCTAGAGCTGGAGCTGCAGGTGGTTGTGAGCCACTGGACAGAGATGCTGGAGACAAAACTCAGGTCTTCTGCAAAAGCAATGTCCAGTCTTAACTGCTAAGCCATCTCTCCAGCACCTATTAAAAAATTCAACTGCTTAAAAATGAGGTGGATATGTTTAATACAAAGTGTCAGCAATGATTATCTCCCAGGTGTGAGATTTCTAACGATTCATGTGCTAGCACTCTTCAATTTTCTATAATCAAAGTTTTTCCTATTTAGTGAGACAACTAGAACAAGAAATGTTGATGGCATAGCTGGCGAGTCTCAGGGAGTCAGTTCCAATGGGAATTTGCTCTGTGCCTTGTGCTTTGTTCCATCAACAAAAGATAGATGGTAGGGTTCGGGGAGGTCTCCATTAGATAAAGCATGGATGAGAACTCAGTAAGTGTATCTCGTACTGACCTCCATAGCACTCGTGAGACAGTATTTCCAACTACATCCTAGGAATGCAGCACTGAAATCTCTAGGAGTGACTTATGAGCAACCCTAGCCCTGTGAAGTGAGTGAAGGTTCTACTTCTGTCTCGGCAAAGCAATAAGACACTAAATACCACTTTACTGTGGCATCCCCAAGCTGGTATTCTCCAACTACAGGGCATGAGAGTCACCCACCTCCAGCCTCCATGCTTTGATAAAAGAATGCTAAGGGAAGGACTCTCTGAGAATCACTAAACAGACACATAGCAAGAATTCAGCACTAACTTCTCCACCAGCCATTTTGGACCACACTCTGCGGGGCTCAGAAATGTTCACAGGCTCACCAGAGTGTCGGACAGGCTCAGTAATGCATTGGGAAAGCTGTGAAGGATGAGGGTTACATTCTTTTGAAAAGTGAGAAAAGCTTCCACACTTTCTAAAAAGAGGCAAGCTTGGTGCATACATGAGTGTGGAATTAGTGCCAATCTGCCCAAGGTGGGCCACCTGGAGGTATGATGTGTTGCCTTTAAGTTGACACCTGGAATAAAAACAAATGTTGTGAACTAGGGGGACAACAGATGGAACCTTTCCTAGGATCTTCCTCACGCCAAGACCTTGGTTTCTTCGTGTCTATCTCATCCACTTGTTCCGACACAGGGACAATATCTAAATGAGAGGTCAGTTTTAAGATGAAAGGTCAAGACAGGAATTCTACAAGATCTTCTAAAGCTCACGCCATGCTTACTTACTTTAGCAAGAGAAAGCACAGGGTCTAGAATCAGTCAGGTGACAAACCTCTGGACCTATCTGTGAGCCATTCCCTAAGTTAGGTTGACTGAGATGAGAAAACTCCCCCTAAATGTGTGTGGCTCAGTTTCCCAGGCTAGGGTCTTCGACTGCACATGAAGGAGACGTGGGCTGAGCATCAACATTCAGCTTCCCCCGTTTCTTAAAGGTAGATATGATGAGAGCCACTGCCTCGGGTTCCTGTCACCTCGCCTTTGAACCATGAACCGAACAGTAACCTCTCCTCTCTTAATTTTCTTTTTTGGCAGGTATTCCACCCCAGCAACCAGAAAAGTAACTAATATCAGTTGGATGAATGTTCTTGATCCATCTTGGGAGGAAATGGAAGCAAAATAATAATAGATGATTAGCTCATAAACGATAGCCTTGGAATTGATTTCAGGATTCTCATATGAGTACCCTAATTTGGTACACCAGGCTGCTTTGCAAATTACCTTTCTCTGGCATGATGAACATCAGCCTCTAGCCTAAACACACACACACACACACACACACACACACACACACACACACACACACACACTTGAAAGCAATAGAATAAATCTAAACAAAATGCAGGAAGAAGCTTCTGTAATTGTGGATAAATGATGATGAGTGTTACAAAGGACAGAGAACATAGGGTTCAAGGAGGTGGGTTCTTGGTTTGGGGATGTAGCCCAATGTAGCCAAGGCAACCAGCGGGTGGAGATGGAGAACGGGCCAAGCAGAGAGGATGGCGGTACATTCCTGGCAGAGCTTCTGCAGCATCCTACAGGCACTGAGAGGAACAGAGTCTTCTAGAGTAGAGGTAGGAACCAAAATCCCAGAATAGTTAGACAGCTTATCCAAGGTCTTGGGTCCCAGCTAGCTTCAGTCTTCTTACTATATTTATGCTCTATCACCAGAGATAGCTTCAGAATGCAGGACCTCAGGTCTCTCCAGATGCACTTGAGTCAGAAACTGGTTTGAACAAGATCCTCAGTGCCTTAAATTTGGGAAGTGCTGCTCTGAAGCATGCACACCTTCTGGGATGGGAAGCTCTTGCTTGCTGTCAATCACCTGCATAAATGATCTGCCATGTCTAAGAGACACAAGGGGGCTGGGCAGATGGCTCTGTCGGTAAAGTGCTTGCCACACAAGCATAAGGACCTGAACTTACATCCCCGGGACCCGTGTCAAAATCTGGGAACTTGCAGTCTTCACATTGTGAAGGGTAAGATAGGAGGACTGCTGAGGGTGGCTGGCCAGCCAGTTTTGCTGACTCAGTGAGTTCTGGATTCAGCAAGAGACCCGGCCTCAAAAAGTAAGGTGGTGTGGGCTAAGGAAATGGCTTGGTGGATAATGTGCTTGCTTTGTTCAGATACTCAGAACCAATATAAAAGCCTGCATGTAACCCTAGCATTGGAAAGGCAGAGATGGGGATTCTCTGGGGCAAGCTGGCTAACTAGACTAGCTAAACTGGCCAGACCTAGGTTCAGTGAAAAGCCCTGCTGAAATATAAGGTGAAAGGCAATGAAGATACCTGTGCAGATGGCAGTTTCTCCGGTCCTGCCTTGCCCAGCAGTATGGATGAATTTCTCCCACTTGCGGTCCCACAGCTTCTTATAAAATAATTACTCAGAGGTTATATTAATTACAAACTGTATGGCCTATAGCTTTAGCTTCTTGCTAACTAGCTCTTTCATCTTAAATTAACTCATTCCTATTCATCTATATGCTGTCACGTGACAGTGGTGTTACCTGTCCGCTGGCATCTTGTTGCTCCTTTGGCAGTAGGTTGGTGTCTCTCCTGACTCCACCCTTCTTCATCTCTGTCTTCAGTTTGAATGTACCGCCTAACCTTATTCTGCCTTGCCATTGGCCAAACAGCTTTATTTATCAACCAATGAGAGCAACACATATTCACAGCGTACAGAAAGACATCCCACAGCATACCTGATGTCAGCCTCTGTCCACTACCCACATGTGCACCCTCACATACGTATATGTCCACATCATGCACACCACACACACACATATACACAAAGTGAAATCATAATGTAGAGTACAATTGAAAAAGACACATGATGCCAACCTCTGAGCTTCACATGCACATGTATGTGCACATGTACCCAAACATGCACATACACATAAATATGTGCATAAACATTCACCATGCATACACGAAAAAGGCACATAGGTGCTCCAAGTGGGTCTCATTAGGAGGTGACCATGGAAACACCTTCTGTTGTTTGATAATATTCCTGGGGAGATGAGAACAAACGTCTGCTCACACCGATAGGGAACTAATGATAGACTAAAGTAAGGGTACCGCCAGAATCCAAATTGGTGAGCCAATGAGTTTTACTTGCATTACTTACAGGATATGGGTGAGGGGTTACTTACAGGAACAGAAGTGACTCAAAAACAGCTCTTCACCAAAGCCCACCCCAGCATGGGTGACAGCTGACAAAGCTGGGAACCTGGAGCTCACTGCACAGCCCCAGGACAGCTAAATAGGCTAAAGGGTGTCTTTTCCAGGCATCTCAGTTGGTTTGAGCCTCTTACAGGCAGCTCAACAGGCCTCTGCCTCTTTCAGAAGGTTGATCTGGTCTGAGAGCATCTCTTAGCTTTCTTCACTGCTTATATTTGCTTGGAGATGTGGAAACCTAATGAATCTAGTCAGATTCAGGGACTTCCTGAAGCTTTTGAGTTGCTTACTTCCCAAGAACAAGATTTCCTGCAGGATGGAGGAGTACTTTACCTCCCTTTAGGACATCCTGTGTCTAGAGAAGATTCCCTCCAAAATGGAAGGTTTTATCTAAGAGGAAACCGCTACACGACACCTTCCACTACAGGCCCCATCGCTCCCAAAGAAATAATTATCAGCTCCCATGCAGGTGGAGCAAAGTCCCACACGGCCTCACTTGTGGTACAATGCATGTGATTAATCACTGTTTCCAGAGACACCTCATCCATCATCACCTCAAAGCGCCCGGGAGAAAGGGGTCAGGGTCGAGGAGCACTGGGCACCAGGAAGGACCGAGACTCTGGGTCAGCGATAAGATGCATGCGGAGAAGCACACTGGAGAGGCGGGAGCTCAAGAGCATTAAGCATTCACCCTGGCCACTCTGATTGGTAATTAAGTGACTCTTCTTCCGGCCGACAGTCGTGCAAGCTCCCTAGGCATCTGTTAGTCCTTCGAAAACCACTCCTGACAAAGTGAGGTTTGCCCTTGGTGCGCAGATAATGAGAGCGTGCTTGACAGGTGTGGCACGATTGGAAAATTTCTCCATGAAGCTCATTCTGGTAGCCACTCCGCGGTAAACAGACTCATTAGAACTTGCGGGTCCCTGGAGGCAAAGCATGTTTGACATTATTAATTGGCTTTTCTGTATAAGGAGTCAAATAGATGAAAAGGTTTATCAAGCTGAAATAATTAATTTTGCCTGAATTCGCTGACAGTTCATTTCTCCTCTAAAAGACCATTTTAAGGTTCCCCCTTCTCCCTCTTCTTCTCTGTCTCTGTCTCTGTCTCTCTCTTTTTTTTTGAATTTCAAAGTTCAAAAGACATAATAGTGGCAAAAGTGAAGCTTTTTAGTAAATTATAATTAAAGGGAATTTAATTAACTTAGACCTGGGGAAGGGGGAAAAAAGGATTTGCTATCTGTGTCTATACAGCAGCCTAGATGGTTGAACAGAACATGACTTAATAATGCATTAATTTTAATCTAATCAAAGTATAATAAAAGAGGTAATTATATGTTTAAAAATTACCAGACTCCAATAGTGAGTTAAAAAAAAAGAAACCCTTGCTATTTTCTCAGCTTCTCTTAGCAAAGTTATAATTGTTGTTCTCAGAGTGCTTATTTCAAGGAGGGGAGGGGCCCTGGGCAGGAGGTTAATTGAATAAATCATTGTGAGGACTCTTGTTGAAACCAGGACGAACTACAAAGTTTGCATTTCCTGACTGTAAAAGATCCCGCTTCCCCTTTCTCTCTGTCTTTCAGTGTCTCTAAAAATAGCCACCGATTCCCAATGTTTCTTTACCCTTGTTCCTGAATGTTCCCACGCCTACTCTTTGTCACACAGAGCACAAGCCTGGTCCGTGCAAGACTACAGATTGTTCTCAACTCCCAAATTTCACCACTTTCATCTCCAACAGGGCACTTCGTGATTCCTTGTGAGACCTTCTGGGCAGACATGGTGAGTATCTCTCCTCTTTGAGACTGGGGAATTATTGAAAGGAGCACCAAAGTGCCATGAAAAGCATTTCCTAATAGGGCTATTTCATTGGATAAAGACTGGAGCCTGCAGAGATGGCTTGGTGGGCACAAGCACTTGGCATCACGTGTGAGGAGCTAGGCTCAAGTCCCCAGGACCCCTGCTGCAAGACAGGAGGTAGAGACAGGAAAATGTCAGAAAATTTGATGGTTACGAAAAATACAGAGATTCTGTCTCAAATGAGGTGGAAGATAAGGACTGGCATCTGCGGTTATTCTTCAACCTCTGCACTCACACCTTGGCAAACACACTCCCACATGCACTCCCCGAATGTGTGGACATATGTGTACACACACACACACACACACACACACACACACACACACACACACACACACTGAGCTTTCTTTTGCCTTTAGTATCATACCAAGGGCATTGATATTCTGTGGCAATGAGAAATCTTGTTATATAGACCAATCTATTAGTAAGAGGTCTTCAAGGAGGTTCCTTGAAGGTTCCAATGCCTCCCAAATCTCTTTGGCCATTGATGCTGGGCAGTACAGTGGGTGTCTCAGTTAGGGTTTCTTTTGTTAGGATGACATCATGACCAAAAGCAACTTGGGGAAGAGAGAATTCATCTCATCTTAAAACACGAAGGTCACACTCCATCACTGAGGGAAATCATGGCAGGAATTCAAGACAGGAATCTGGAGGCAGGAGCAGAAGCAGAAGTCATGGAGGACTGCTGCTTACTGGCTTGTTCCCCATGGCTTGCTAAGCCTGCTTTCTTATACACCCTAGGACCACCTGCCTGGAGTGGCACTGTCCACAATGGGCTAGACCCTCTCCCATCAATCATTAATCAAGAAACTTCCCTATAGACTTGCCTACAGGAAGTCTGATGGAGGCATTTTCTCAATTGAGGATCCTCTTCCCAGATGACTCTAGCTTGTGTCAAGTTAAAAACAACAACAACAACAAAAAACAAAACAAAACAACAACACAAAAACAGGACATAGGGGCTGGGCAGAGGAACTGGTTGGGGAAGGTAGTTCTTCAGTATCTAGTACTAAGTCCTGGTTTAGTTTTGGGGGGTCATCACCTCCTTCCTACACAGGCTCAGATCAAGCAGCTTTGAAGGCCTCCTTGGTTGTAATGGGCCTGCTCAAGCCCTAATGACAGTGACTCTTTTCAGCTTCTCATAGTTAGACAGATAGACAGACAGGCAGACAGGCAGACAGACATATAGATAGATGATAGTGATAGATGATAGGTAGATAGATAGATGATGGATGGATGGATAGATAGATAGATAGATAGATAGATAGATAGATAGATAGATAGATAATCTCTGGATGTATGTGTACATGTGTACACATGCACACGTGTGTATTTCTGTTCCAAAAATGTTCAGTGGCTACATCCAAAGAAACAATCAGAGAGAATGGTTAAGGAGTCTGCCTTGGTTTTCCCAATACATTAGTTCTGGCAGGCTCTCCTGTGGCCCAGGCTTTGTCACTGTGGATAACCTTGAATTTCTGGCCCTCCCGCCTTCATCGCCTAGATGTTGGGATTATAGTCCTGTACTACCACACCCTGTTTGTGCAGTACTGGAGATAAAACTCAGAAATGTGTGCAATGGTAAGCAAGCTCTCAACAGATGGGGCTGCATCCTCAGCCTCTTCTCCATCCTGAATAGGAAGCCAAAGCTTGATTCCTGAGATTCAGCATCATTGCTAGTTCAAGAAAACTCAACCTGCAATAACTCACGCTCTCGTTGCATTCCTTTTGAAAGATTCAAGGTCACTTCCACCCTTCACCAAAACATCCTTTGGCTCATCTTTTCGAATGAAGGAGAGGCAGGGCATGTACCTTGACAGCCTTCATACACGGTGTGGTGATTAAAGCTGATTGTCTATTTGATTGTATTTAGAATCATCTAGAAGACAAAAACAAAAACAAAAAAAAAAAACAAAAAAACAAAAAACAAAAACAAAAACAAAAAAAACCTCAGTGCATGTCTGTGAGAAACTTTCTAGATTGGGCTAATTAGGTAGAATGACCCTTTTTTTTTTTTGGTTTTTCGAGACAGGGTTTCTCTGTGTAGCTTTGTGCCTTTCCTGGAACTCGCTTTGGAGATCAGGCTGGCTTCGAACTCACAGAGATCCGCCTGCCTCTGCCTCCCGAGTGCTGGGATTAAAGGCGTGCACCACCACCGTCCGGCAAATGACCCTCTTAAATGTGAGCAAAACTGCTCTGTATGGTCTAGAGAATGGTCTGTAATAGCCATGCTTTCAGGTTTTAACAAGTGAGTTTATTAAGCATATATAAGCAAAAGTTAAAAACAAAACAAAAACAACAACAAAAAAAAAAAAAAAAAACAACCAGGGGCTAGCAGATAGAGAGAAACAAGCTAGATAGCAGAACATCATCAAAGTACTTACAAAATCCTGCATAGGTGATGCCGAAGCCGGATCGGGGGAGCAAACAAAAGTTCTCATTAAATCAAGGGCTTACAAACATCCAACAGAAATCAGCCAGGGAAACCTGGTTCAGAAAGTCAGCCGAGGAGAGAGTCTCAGGCAGACACAGGACATAGCATTCCCTCCAGCGAGGCTTTGAAGTAAAAGGACAAATGGCAGCAGACAGAGAATGTCATCAAATCATGGTGAGATGGTAATCTTCCAGCTGAAAACAGCTGGGGAAGTTGAGGCAGTGAGCAGGAGTTCCGGTTAAAGCTTTCTTTCTGTGTCTGAGCTCCCTGAACTTTGGTTTCTCTCTCAGGCATTTTTATATCCGGGCACAAACACTACTGACTTCTGTTGGAAATGGTTGACCTTCTAGCTGGTCTCAAAGACACGGTGTTTTCAATAATCTCACCTGTTTGTTATTTTCTTTTCTTCTTGTTACAGAGTTAGGGAGCCCTCCTACCCCAGGACGGGGAATTTTAGGGGAGACAGAAAGGGTTTCCTTGTTCCCAGAGTCACTTCCAACAAGCTTAAGCAGCAATCACCAGTTCCCCATTGAATAAAAAGGAGAGGATGAGCCGAGCCCAGAATTCAGCTCTCTGCTTCCTGACTGTGGACGAAATGTGAGCAGCTGCCTCCCGCCTCGGCCGCCATGCCTTGCCGCCATGATGGACTGCACGCTTGAACAGTAAACCGAATAAATTCTTCCCCCTTCAAGTTGCTGTTGTCAGGTTTTTGTTTTGTTTTGTTTTGTTTTTTGTCCCAGCAACAACAAAAGTCACGGGTACACACACGGCACCACGATCCTGAAATAAACTGGCGAAATGAACTCCGTGTGGAAGATGAGAACCAGAACCGGTGAGAAAGTCACCCAAGGTCACCCGCGGAGGCTTTGGAGCTGGGCCACCACACCTCCAAACCCATGTCATTTGCACCAGAAAAGAGAAATTCAAAAAAGTAACAGATATCAAATTCCCAAACCATAAATACTTGTAACATTTACCAGAGAGTTAACATTTGGGGTAAGAAATGTCAGAACCCAAAAAGCAAATAACTCCTTCCTTGCACAGAGGAATGCTTGAAAAGATGTATTTAAAAAAAAATTCCGGGGAAACTTGAGACCTTCAGTTGAACACAGCCCCAACTTATTGTTCCTTTCCGGGGCTGCCTCCTTATATTAGTTCCTTGATTAACTCTATATTAATGTCCAGGGGCCATCCTTAATTCATGAAGGGCACACCCTGACTGGGGCAGAGTGGAGAGGAGGTTCTTTCTCTGTGCTGAGAGACTCGGGCCTGGAGCTGTCATCACTCAATAGCATTTTTTTCTTCTGAAGTCAATACATTGCTCCCTCTCAAACATGCTTAAAGAAAACACACATTGATTTATTCGCAGTTCTGAGCTACTTATCACACGCTAATGACCGCTGTGTGGAAAAACACTGGCTGAAAAAAAAACCCACTGTGCTGGGCATAGTCACTCTGCCCAGGGAACAACTAAGTCCCCCTCTCCGCACCCCACCACCTCTGTAATTCACCAAGACTTAGCCACTTAGAAGGGGATGTGTGCCAGTGTGGTCATTTCCAAAGACTCCAGAGAAAGCTCACATCTACCCCCCACACCCCCTTTCATTCATTAACCCCCCAGGGGCCAAGACTAATTAGATCAGCTTGCTCATTTTGAGCTGATAATTGATTTAAATAGGTTGCTCATTTGAAATAGAAGAAAAGCCTGCTAAACATTTGGTGGTTGGGTCTTTTTTTCTTCTTCTTTCCCTGCAACTTTCAATTGCTTGTGCAATGTAGCATAAAATGTCGAGGTCTCCCTTTTCTTTTCTCTCTCTTTCTTTTTAAAGGGGCCATAAAATTAATTACAATAAGGAGGCAACCGGCAGGGGCAGGGGTTAACTGATGGCTCTAATGAGCAGCCCCAGCTTCGGGAAAGCTGGGCCAATGCTCACGCTGTTTGCTAGCTGTAAGGGCCTCTGGCTTCAAGGAACTCCGCAGCAGCCTTCCTACAGATTCCGTCTGCATGGCAACCAAAGTAGCTTCCCCGAGCTTCCAACAAAGGGCTCCTGCCTATCCAATGGTGGGGACATTCCGGAATTGTCCTCTTACCATTAAGTAAAAAAAAGCATTCTTAAGAAGCCATTTCATGATACCCCCACCCCACGCCCCTCCCCTCATTTTTTATACTTTTGGGGGAGACTGGAACATGAAGGAAGCAGTTTGACCCTACTCTGAGTTCTGAAGACCTCTCTTTTCTCAAAGGGTCTTTCATGACTGGTCCTGCACCAGATGGGTTGATTTCAACTGTGGATCCCAAAGTTTAGACTGGCTCTTTTTTTTTTTTTGAAAGTAAATGGTCCCATGAGTTTATGCAGCTCTGCTGACTGTATCCGTTTGGGCACAATGAAAAGATCTTTTGTCTGCAGCATGGAGGGCAAGGGATGGCATCTGTGACTTGCTCTGCACAATGTTCTTGCAGGGGTTTCCTGTTCCCATAGGTGGGAGCTGAGGACAGTTGCCAAATCATTAACGGTAAGCACAGTTATTGGAGATTGAAAAAGCGCCCTCCCCATGCGCATGCTGTATTTCGGTCTACCAGGTGTATCATCCCACAAAACAAAATTTGCCAGGGAAGCAGGTGGGAGATGGAGTGTGAGGAACAAATCTGGGTCTTCAGTTGCATGTGGTCCTCCTTGATGCATGTAAGTCACTCACCCTCTTTAAGCTTGATCTCCTTACCTGCCGAAGGAAGACAGGGAGCTCTGTTTGGAGGTGTGTGGTAAGGGTTAGATCAGGCCGCAGCCCAGCACGGTAGGAAGGAAGATGCAGTTCTGCACACCCCTCTCTTCTCTCCTTTGGAAGTCATAGGCTCTTGCACATAGCAAAGTAGCTTTAATGCACACTCAGGAAATATGTAATACAGGGGCCAAGGAGATGGCCCAGTTTGTAAGTGCTTGTACAAGCCTGAGAACCTGAGTTCGAATCCCTAGTCCCCAAGTAAAATGCTGGGCACATGCCTATGATCCCACTGCTGGGCAAGCAGAGATAGGGGGATCTCTGGACCTTGCTTGGCAGCTAGCCTTGCCAAATATGTGGGGTTCAGGCCAGTGAAACACTGACTGAAAAAAGCAGGGTGAATAGTGTTCCTGTAACACATGAGTCTCTCTCTCTCTCTCTCTCTCTCTCTCTCTCTCTCTCTCTCTCTCTCTCTCTCTCTCTCCCTCCCTCCCTCCCCTTCTCTATTACACACACACACACACACACATACACACACACATACACACACACACACACACACACACACACCAAATAAATAAAATTCAATGAAAATGCTTTTTAAGCAGGGGGAGAGGGATCATTCTTTTTTGAGGATGTGGCCACTGGTAGTTTTCCCACACTCCAGTGGACGGCCCCCACCCACACACATATGGGCAGCACTAATTGGACTTAGCTATCAAAAAAAAAAAAAGAGGGAAGATATGAAATTGGAAGGAGTGTGTCAGGGGAGCTGGACGGGGAAATGTAGGGTGGATATGATCATATGTTGTTACAGATCTGTGTAAAATTCTCAAGAATAAAGAAAAATTATTTTAAAATTAAAAAATGTTTTGAATGCATTTGAACTGAACATGTATAGACTTTCTCAATGCTCCCTAAACAACACAGTGTAGCAAGTGCTCAGTGGCATTCACGCTGCATTAGGTGGTATAATTGACCTAGGAATGACTAGAAGAGTGTGTGCATGTTTTGTATGGTAACGATTCTCCCTTTCACACAAGGTCTTGAGCATCCACAGATTTGGACAGGATCTCACAAATCATAAAGGGAGAAGACAGCCTGTGACACAAAAGTACGTTTTCCAAAGGGCCAAATCGCCTTTCATCCTGGGGTTTTGTATTTAAATTTTTAAAGAATTTCATGTGTTGTATTTACATCATTTCCATCCCTCTCTTCTTTTATAAGGATTTTGTTTTTGTTTTTGTGTGTATGTAGTGTGTGTGTGTGTGTGTGTGTGTGTGTGTGTGTGTGTGTGTGTGTGTACATGTGCATGCAGGTGCCCAGGGAACTCAGAAGAGGGCATTGGATCCCCTGGAAGTGGAATTACAGGAGGTTATAAGCTGCCTGGCACAGGGGCTGGGAAACGAACTCAGGTTCTCTGCAAGAGAGTCGCTTTTGAGTGCTGAGCCATCTCTCCAGCCCTTCCTTCTGATAAGGTCATCTGTTCACAACCAGGCAATCAGGAAGACGGTCACCTGTGTTCTCCACTCAGGACCAGCTCCGAGGGCATAGAACACTTGCAGTCACACAGACCCCAGGCACAGACAGACTGACCGCGGCTGTCTAAACGGCTTACTCTATTAAACAGAGGGGCCAGCGGTTTCCTGTTGCACTGGGCCTTACAAATTTGTCTCGCCCACTCTGATTTTCCCACCCTTCCCCCACACACTGCCGCTGTAAGGCTGTTCTTAAGATACTGAGGAGCCACTTAGGCAAGGTCATGTCCATATTGGTGGCACAATGCATTCGTATTTTCAAATCACATTCTTCTGCTCTTCAATAAATTCCCACCACACTGAAGCCCTCTCAGGTCCTGTGGGCCCCAGCCTACTCCCCATGAAAAACTGTGAAAGAGTGCATGCTAGTGGGCGAAGGTCAGAATCGCAGCTCAGACTTGGCATCCCAGGCAGAATGTGGGCCTTTCAGGTGGATGAAAGAGCCCCACCCAGGAGTAGACAACAGGCCCTGTTAATTCAGCATTCGTGGGGCACATCATTCTCACCATTAATGACATATGAGTTTAGTCCCAGGTAATCTTTTTCAAACCAACCAGTTGTGAAATATATTGAGAAAACACTGCCAATTTCCAATCCTAAGGACTGAACACTGAAGGTAAATAATAATGAATATTTATGGGACACCTGATTGCCTAAATGAGTTCCCTAAGGTATGAATAATTGAATGTGCATATGCTAATTAATTGGGAAAAGCCGGTAGGTAACTCCTTTTTATTTGCATTAGCCTCATTTTGTTTCATTTCTTACAAGTATTACAGTTCTCAGTTATTTCCTATGCTTCAGTGAGGTTGAGTGTCATTGAGAGAATTCTTAATAGACATCGTGATTCTTAATTTCAGTGAATGCATAAGTGATAGTGGAGTATGCAGTGATCATTCTTAGAGTATAGTTCCTCAGCTTTGCCAGGCATTAAAAGCTGAGATTCATTGGTATTTCCTGTCACCAGTCTATGTGGGTGTGTGAGAGTAGGTGGGTAGACTGTGTGTGTGTGGTGTGTGAGTGTATATGTGCGTGTATAGTGTTCATGCATGTACACATGTGTAGAAGGCATAGGTCAGTGGTGATGTCTTCCTCTATTATTCTTCCCCTTATGTTCTGGGGCTAGGTCTGTCTCTGAAATTGGAGTTTATTGACTGACTATTCTAGCTGACCAGCAAGCTCCAGTTGTCCTCTAGTCTCTGTCCTCTATCCCATGTGAAGGTTACAGGCATGAGCCACAATGCCTGGCCACTTAGGTAGGGGCTGGGGATCCAGACTAGGGTCCGGATGCGTGCTTGTGGGGTAAGCACCTAACGACAGAGCCATCCCCGCAGCCTCACACATCTTTCACACCTATCTCCCGGGTTGAACTCTCAGCCACCTTATGAGAAAGACATCATCAGACTGCAGCTCTTTTATAGCATGGGAGCTGGTCTCCTAGGTTCAGAAAGCCAGCCCTGGCTAGGTGGCTGTGAGCACTATGCATAGATTCACTGAAAAGTTGTCTTTCCCAGGGCTGGAGAAATGACTCAGTGGTGAAGAGGGCTTGCGACTCTTGCAGAGGACCTGAGTGCCGTCCCCAGAAGCCATGTCAAAAATGGGCAGCATGGCAGCATGGCTTCATATCCCGGCGCTGGGGGAGCACAGGCAGGCAGACCCCTGGACTCCATGCCCAGCCAGTCTCCCTTCCTCTGGAGTATTCCAGGCTAATGAGAGACCCTGTCTCAATGTTTTTAATTGAGCACCTGAGGAACAACACCCACTAATATAAAGAAGTCCATCACTGTGAAAACACTAAAAATAGGGTTTCATTTCTCCCCAAATACAGCGCTTCTTGTTTTTTGTTTGATTCTGCAGTTTTATCAGGGCTCAGAAGAGAGTTAATACCTGGAGTTGGTTGATCTCAGCTGACATATGGGTAGTAGGTATGCAACTGTTCTTAGCTGAGGTTCAACTAGGGTACATAAGGTATCTCTAAAACCTGTCCCTCTGGCTAGCCGATCACCGCTCGGTGGCTAATCCACGATTCTCCACAGGGCAGCAGAATGGGAGGTTGAGAGCAGAAACTGTAATATGTTCTTTCATCTTGACTCTGAGGCCAATTGCATTGTTGCAGCCATTGTCATGGCATGGCTTTTGTTGCTGTGATAAACACCATGACAGAAAGTAATTTGGGAGGTAAGGGCTCATTACATCTTATAGGTTAGAGTCCATCATCCAGGGAAGCCATTGCAGGAACCTGGAGGCAGGAACGGAAGCAGAAGGTGCAGAGAAAAGCTGCTTACTGACTTGCTTCCTTGGCCTGGCTTTGCTCGCTTTCTTATACCACACAAGACCACCGCCCTGGGGAGGCACCACCACAGTGGGCAAAGCCCTCCCGCATGATCATCAATCAAGAAAGTGACCCAAATACATGCCTACAGGCCAGTATGATGGAGGCAATTCCTCACAGTTTATATTATTTCCAAGTGTGGTGGTTTGAATAAGAATGACCCCACAGGCTCATCTTTAAATGCTTAGGGGGTGACTATTTGAAATAGTAGGAGGTGTGGTCTTGTTGAGGGAAGTATGTCACTGGGAGTGAGCTTTGAGGTTCCAAAGTTCAAGCCAAGCCCAGTGGCTCTCTCTTCCCGCTGCCTGGGGATCCTGATGTAGAACTCTCAGCTGCCTCTCCAGCACCATGCCTGCCTGTGTGCTGCCATGCTTCCCGCCATGATGATAGTCAACTAAACTTCTGAAACTGTAAGCCAGCCCCAATTAAACCATTTATTTTCTGAGAGTTGCTATGGTCATGGCGTCTCTTCATAGCAACAGAACACTGACTAAGACACCAAGTAAATCTAGTTTGTGTTCTATCTGCCCAAGTTAGTTATAAACAAATCTTCATCAAAGGGGAGGGAGACACACTGCTGGAGAACAATGTATGGAGAAGACAGATATTTCTTATTGGCTATCTGTGAAAAGCATCTATCATACTCTCTGCTTGGGCAACACAATCTAAAGGTGTAGCATGAACTTCGTTCCTGATCTGAATCTCACACTCACTGTGGATGAGCGATGAGAGTCTTTGGTTCTAAAGAACAAATTAAGTTTGAGAGACAAACTCAGCCTTACCAGGTTCTCATCTCCGTTAGCTGAAAGGATTCTTGTAGCAGGTGATTTCTAGGTTGATTTATGACCTTGTATCCTAGAAATAATCGCTGGAAGACCAATTTGTTTATTACATGCAAATCACCTAGGTGAGGCTATCAAAGACAAGGTTGGGCTGATATCAAGTGTAATTTGAGGCAAACCAAGAAAGATTAAGGTGCCTTGTGATGGATTGAGGCAGGGAGTTGAAAGTCAGCAATGAGACAGACCGGTGTGTTCAGCAGGAAATTTTGAACTGAGAGTTATTAAATACAAATACAGAATTAATTAAGAAGTTGACCATGAACAGAACAATCTAACATCAGATGGATAAATGGGCAAAGTCCTCTAGAAGACTGAGACACCTGTGATACTGTTTGCCTGTTGGAGATGGCGGCAATGTAAGGTCATGGAAATGAGCACAGTCTGCCTGAAACTGAGGACCACTCATGATGTGAACGTGTTGATGGCTTTGCTGAGACTGATTCAAGAATGTGTGTGTGTGTGCATGTGTGTGCATATGTGCATGCATATGTGTGAACATGTGTGTGTGTGTGTGTTGTTTTGTTTTGCTTTTTTAGTATTTTTTCTGTCCAGAAGTGATGGTGAGCTGCTTAACTTTGGTATAGGAACCCAAACTCTAGTCCTTGGCAAAAACAGCAAGTGCTCTTAACAGCCAAAACATTTGTCCAGCCCCACCACCCATTTGGGGAGACAGGGTATTGTGAATCCCAGGCTGGCCTCAAACTCACCGTGTAGCCCAGAACAACACTGAAC